GGGGGGAGGGGGTATAGAAAAAAGGGATGCCTTTTACGTTGTAACAAAGGAGCAAAGAGCAAGACTGAACGAAAGTGGGTGCAAGAAACTGTCAATGATCTGTAAGTGTATAGTCTACATGCATGCACGTATGTGTATTATGTTTGTGCTCGCATGTTCGCACGGTACCAAATATGATTTGAGAAGGTTTATAATAATATTCATGTACAAAGGCCAATCTCAATGTACTTAATTAATACTGATACGTATTTGCATATTATTATCATAACGTTTCACCCTTTTGCTTCAAATCACCTTTCACTTATCATGACAGACGGGAGTGGTTTTGAAAGATAAAGATTGTTACTGTGCATCTTTACAAAGCGCTGACATCTTTTTTTATGACATTGACGCTCTTGTTTCGTACCGTTTTTTGATTTAGAGATTTCGAAATATGGAGAAGCCGATAATGTGTCAGGATGTGGTGACTGTTGATTGTGTCTGTTTCTTTTCGATTTTTAAAAAAATTTCTCAAGGGTATTAATAAATCCTTTATGAAAGAATTACGTTTACAGACACAGGTCATGTGGTATGGCATCGAGTGAGTGTGTGTTAGGGTTGTTGAGTTTTGAAAGTTGGAGATGTGCGCAGCGAATGAGAAGGGTGTTGTAATTTTAGATTGTCTTAGAATGCTGCTGTCTTGCCGAATAACCGCCAACGATTTTTAAAAGCAATTAGCCACTCTTTAAATGAGCGATTGACTGACTACCTCCACTTTTTTGTGGGTGGTGGGGGAGGGGTGTATTATTGTTTGTTTGTGGAGTTTCGGGGATGTATTTTTGTTGGATTGTTTGAGAGGAAAGGGGTAATTAGTTTTTATGCTCTTTTCTCCACTTCGTGAGTCTTGTGTTTTTTTCTTTATTGTATTCTTCAAGGGGAAAAGGGGGAAAAGGGGGGGGGGGGTTGTAACAGAAAAAAATAAACATGAGATGGAAAAAGGAGAAAGAGAAAAGACACGTTATATTTGCTCATTTGTGTCTTGTTTACTGGTTACTTTCTAGACCTTCGTACTTTCAACAGAGACGTGCATTTGCCATAGACCTTTGTCTATCTAGTTCTAGCATACAGGATGGATGTGATATTTAGCATGTGTGTGTGTGCATGTACACATGCATATTATATGCATTGGTTGGTGTTTGCGTCAGAGTTTGAGGTATAATAACTATCTGTTTCAGTATTGTATTCTACAACGATGTACTGTTTTTCATAAACCAAGACACGTTCCTCACTTCTTTAAAAATGTTCGTTAGCTCAAAAAGTCAATGTAAAAAATTGTTTTATTGCCGTCACATGAGTGAGTCTGCTTTGAAATATTTCGTAACGTATACAATGCTTAAAATAACTCCTTTTCTTCCTGGTGTTTCCCTGCATTTATTTAAAACTACTGAGCGAGAAAAGGGAAGAAGATTGTAAATCTATAGCTGTTGAAAAAAAACAACCAATTGACGATTGCCCATTTCTTGGGTGAGATCAAGTGAATGTAGTAGAATGTATGAACAGACTCAGAGACGTCGTAGTCTGGGCTCTGAATTCACCTGTTTGTTGAAAGACTATAAATCTTGCACACTTGTAAAATCTATACACAAATATTTTGTAAGAACTTCACCACACATCGCATGACTCGGCAATCTTCCAGTTAATCACGTTTGATTCACAGTTGGTAGATTCAGGGGCATAAAACGAAATTGTGACTGTTACCGGAGAGTAGATAAAGTAAAGTTAAGTCAGCCAGTTTTTCAAATAGTATGCAAAGCCCAAATTTTATTATTTTTTTCTATTGCAGTTTCTAATCTTAGCCTGTTGTACTGTTTTCGTGACGTTTCCAAAAAACATTTTGTCCAAATTCAAATTCTAGATGCTATAAAAATAAAAGCAAGAAAATACATAATGTTGGTACAATAATTGTGGAAAAAAACGTAGATCCAATAGGGGTTTCTTCTTCCTGGGGAATCTTGCTTTCTTGGCTTGGTACATCTTCACGCTTGTGGACGAGTAAAGTGTGCTCGTATTGGGGGACATTTGCGCTTCCGGAACTGGCGCTGTCTGGAAAAAAAGATGGCGTGCCTCTATGAGAAAACACTGTAATCACAAAGTATGGGAAATGATAGTCCGAAAGTAAAGCACATAAGGATGTTTCTCGTGACTTTTTTTCTTTCCTTTTTTTTCTTTCTTTAATCAAGTCTGGGCTAGGCTACAAAATACCAATCAGAGTATGGAATAACATATAATAGTAAACTGCTGTTATTTGGAAGATTTGATAGTCAAATTTTAGACTACTTAGTTTCCAGAATCTACCAAGTATGAATAAAGCGTTGTGAGAGAGACAATCTGTGGTTCCAATACCCTTCAAACTGATGTAATCTATTGAAATTTTCATTGTGAATGTCTATGTGTGTGTTTGTGTCTATGGTTTGTGTGTATGTGTGTGTATGTGTGTGTGTTTGTGTGTGTGTGTGTGTGTGTGTGTGTGTGTGTGTGTTGGTTTGTATGCATGGATGTGCTTGTGCGCGCCAATAATAATAATATGTTTGTACAAGGATTCAATCGCTTCAAATTCAATCATTTCAGCCCATAGCGTGCGATTCGGGGCCAAAGGATGATAATAATACTGATCTGATATACTGAATATACTGAATGTACTGATACGCGCATTTTCAGCCATAATAAAGTGTACATACAAACATTATCGAACAAACTTGAATACACAATTAATGGTGTTTTAGGCTGTCGTTGCTCTATCTAAAGCATTGCTCTTGTTCTCTGTTTTACGCCTGTCTTTCGTTACATTGTATTCTTAGTTCCCACAGTCATTGAATGACGTTTTGTTATTAAACCTACACAAAACAAGTATTGTAGAATAATGTTTTTCGTCCTTTTATACAACTGAAAAACCTTTAAGGGAGATGGCTGCATCAAGTTTACCTGTCACGACTAGTCTTTTAGTTTAGTTTTAGTACGAGTTTTACCACACTTGCAACACAAAAAGGTCATATAAGTGCCGAAGAATAGATGTTACAAGAGAGTTACGTACAAAAAAAGAAGGAGGAGAGATAAGGACGATAGGTGTTTGATAGGAAAGAAGGAGCAAACCACACCAGAGCACCCGCCAACCACCCACACGACTAGTCTGGGTGATACCGGGATACAACAACTAAGAAGAAGAACGAAGATGCTCTATAAAATAAATATTCTCTTTTCGGAATCGAATTCATGCCCTCTACCTGTTAGACGAAGAACTTAAAAATAGCACCATTTGT